GGGGAAGTGGAGGATAGTTATGTTGATAATCCTGACCCTTTGGAGGCCTAGCCTAGGCTACTGTATATGTTTATGTCTTTATTTTTAACAAGAAAGTTTAAAAACTGAAAAATATGTGAAAGTAAAAAATTTTAGATAGAAAAAACTTTAAGGATATAAAGAGAAATATTTTATACAGTTGCGCAATGTGTTGTGTTTTTAGCTAAGTGTTACTGTACAATTGAGAAAGTTAAAAAAATTTAAGGTTTATAGAGTAAAAAGTTACTTTAATCTAAGGTTAATTTATTAGTAAAGAAAGAAAATTTATTTTTATAAATCTCAGGTACAGTATATATAGTCTTCAGTAGTGTACTCTAGTGCTTGTAGCCTTCACATTCACCCCACTCACTCACTGACTCACCCAGAGCAATTTCTAGTATTGTAAGCTCCGTGCATGTAAGTATCCTCTAATAGGTGCACACTTTATACCATATTTTAACCTTTTTTTTGTATAGACACATAAGTATTCACCCTTGTGCTACAATTGCCTATGGTATTCAGTGTGGTAATATGCTGGACAGCTTTATAGCCAAGGAGTGCTAGGCTATATTATATAGCCAAGGTGTGTAGTAAGCTGTCCCATCTAGATCTGTATATTAGGTATACTCTATTGTTGGCAAAAAAAAAAAAGGAAATCACCTAACTTTGCATTTCTCAAAATGTGTCCTTATTGTTAAGCTGCAAATGACTTGTGATGTCTTTACCCTAAACAAGATAGACTTTTCATCAGATTTTTCTGAAAAGGAAGCACATTCAGAATAATGATTTTTCTAAAGTGACTCATTCTCTGAATTGTGTTCCTAGTGAATGATTATAGTGAGATTACCTTGTTACACTTTCTAAAGTTTTGAGCACCTCCCAGTTTGAGCAAGAGACAAACCTGACCTGTTTCTTCTACATAAGATGTTTTAAGAAGCTGAGTGTGGTGGCACATGCCTGTAATCCCAGCAGTTCAGGAGGCTGAGACAGGAGAATAGAGAGTTCAAAGCCATCCTCAACAAGGGTGAGACACTAAGCAATTCAGTGAGACCCTGTCTCTAACTAAAATAGGCTGGGGATGTGGCTCAGTGGTTGAGTGTTCCTGAGTTCAATCCCCAGTACCAAAAAAATAAATAAAATAAAATAAAATGAAAGATGTTTTAAGAAATCACCTACAAGCCTGACAAGGCAGTTTTCTTTTTATTCTTTAATTTGTGGTACCTGGTGCCAGTGTTCACTCAGAATGATCTCACAGAGTTTCACCTGTCACAATGTTTATAATCGAACTGATTAAAGATTTTGTATCACAGTTACCTATAGAACCAATTTTCTAAAAAAATTTTGCCCACAGAGTATTTTTAAGTGTAGATTAGATTAATTTGCCTTCTGCATGGGGCATTCTTAATTATAGGATCAAAATGGTTTTTTGTTACATTGATTTTTTTGGTATCTTTTGCTGTTATGCAACCTTGCGTAGGTGAGATCATTAATATGAGCCCATATTTTCCAAGTTATTCTGCCATGCTCACTAACTTTCAGAGATTAATTCAGCAAATTTGAGTTGGACCATAGAAATTTTATGTATGTTTCCACTCTTAATAAGAATGATAAATGAGGACAGATGCTAATATCTCATTTCTTCTCAACAAATGAAAGACTTAACTACAGTGTTTGCATATTCCCTAATTACGACAGAATCCATTCCAGTGGAACAAAGTTTTAAGTATTATTGACTTTTATTCATAGGACTTGTTTTATTTGCTGCACATATTTAAAACAGGATTTCCTTAAAAGTTTGAAATTAGATTGCTAATAAAAAAATAGAACTTTGGAGAAAATAGGTAAAGTTAGGTTTGGTAAAAAAGATATTTTAAAACCAAAGAAGAGGAAACTCTGTTTGCCTGCACGTATGTATATGTCTGTTTCGGTTTGAAGTTATTCATTCCTTTCAGCAAGAGACCTTTTTAAACTATTGTATATATGCGAGAATATTATAGTCAGAGCACAGTAGAAAGAAACAAGCCCCAAATCACCCCAAAGTTAATCCTCTAGGTAGTCATAATTTGTTAACCAAGAATCATGATGCTTATTCTGTGTTATACTATCTTTTATGCTCTTAACCTGGAAGCCACTCCATTATAAAAAAAAACAGTTCTTTTTCATCTGTTCTGACAAAACCTACTTGATGCCTAACAGACAGAAGTGACTTAGTAAGAAGATAGTTGGTAAGTAAGCTAGTGAATGAATGAATGAATGAATGAAGAGAAAAGAACAACAAAACCATGACTGTCAAAAAAAATTAGAGGCCAATTTTTGTTATACTTATTCCTACTTCTGTAAGCCACAATTCTACTTAAAAGGATTACTAGTTTTTATTTAAACATTTCCTCTTATTCGGTTGTCATGTGGTCGTATAAAAAATCAAAACTGTATTATTTGGTATGCATGGAAATAATTTTTAGTCAAATTATCTCTTGGAGGTTTCTGATGTTCTATTTTGACTGGGTCATTTTTTTCATGTTCATTTGGCTCATTTGTTAAATGGTTGTGGGTGGGAATGGCTATTAAATCATTTATCTTGCTTAAAATTTTAAGTAGTTATCATGCAATTTTATTTATTAAGTTTGATGTGATTATTTTGTAGACGTTGAGTTCTTTTAGTTAAGGAATGAAATGTAAAGAAGCAAAGCAGAGAGTGGGGTGCACCCGTGCATGCCTGTAATCCCAGTAGTGCGGGAAGCCAAAACAGGAGAATCTTGAGTTCAAAGCCAGCCTCAGCAATTTAGTGAAGTGCTAAGCAACTCAATAAGCCCCCGTCTCTAAATAAAATACAAAATAGGGCTGGTGATATGGCTCAGTGGTTGATCGCCCCTGAGTTCAATCCCTGGTACACCCCTCCCCAATAAAAAGAAGCAATGCAGACATTTCCCATGAAGTATTATGTCCGTAGGGGTTTTCACATTATCCAGGGAAAAATCTTTTATTCTGTATGTTTTCAAAGTTTTCCTACTTATTTGGGAGAATTTAAGCAGGTATGAATCTACTATCAAGTGGATGTACACATCCAGTGAATGTGATCCTTTTTTGTAAATGGCAGCTTATTTTGAAAAAAAATTTTAATGTATGCTAGGAGAGCCTAATAATATGGAAATAAAATCCTGTGCTTGTAGAATTTTCTCCCAAGGCCAATATTTTGGGTACCTGGGTAAATTAGCATGCTAATTTGGAGCATACCTAAGAGAAGCGTTTTTAAAGAAAAAAATTAAAGCTCTGTTTTTTGTCTTTCTTTAAGTAATTATGTTAATTATCCCAGTAATCTCTAACTATATTTCATTTAAAGTAGGTGATAGGAAATATTTAATCCCTAATTTTATTATTCTACTGCTAGTTTATAGAGTAGAAACCTAAGGCAGAAACCTAAGGTTATCATTCATAGAACAATATCTGAAATAAAACTTAAGCTCTTATAAAGATACTTATATTTAACATTTCATTTACACACAGATTGTTTACATCAAAGTCTGTCCACAAAAAAATGCCCAGCAATTCTGCTGCTCTTCATTGCCAGTGCATAAGCCGGCCAAGCACTACATTGCCCTAAGTTTAAAGCATTGACTCTGTGCTTGGATTGCTTGAGTCAGGATCTTAATTCATCACCATTTCCTGTTTGCCCTTGGGTAAAAATGTTATCACAGAGGCAGTTTCTTTTCTGTAAAATGGGAATTAGGATAGGACTTTGCCATAGGATGTTGGTGAGAATTAGAACATGTACATTGTAAAGGCACTCCACCTGACAGTATGAAGTGGTCTGCACTATGAACTGCTGTTTAGTTTTTTAATCAAAGAGAAGAAGCTCAAGTTTTAACACAATTTATAGGATTTGACAGGATTTAAAAGATAGACTATAAGAAAGACCAGCAAAAAAAAAAAAAAGGAAAATCTAAGAAAAATGTGATGTAATAATAAAGGAATGACTTATTTATGTACTGTGAATGAAATACATTAGCTAAAATTATCTTATTAATTTTATTATGTTAATTATCTCATTTGTTTTATTTGCCACTCTGAATGTTTCATCTTTAGTATGCTTTTTGCAGACCATATAATATCTTCGAAGTGTTTCTTCTCAGGAATTTTAACTAACATTATCAAATGATCATAGTCACTAAAGCCTATAAATTGACTAGTCTGCATTAGAAAATGAAGAGTTTTCACATCTCAGCTATTATAAAATTGTGAATGGTTATTAAAATTTTTATTATATATTTTAAAAGTTCTATTCCTGACCAGAGACCCCCAAAATAATCATTCAGATATGTATATTCACTAAGCTAACCAGAAAGTACTCTTCTTTCTATTTACCCTTAAAGTTCTCTTTATGAAAACTGGATAATGTCAAGTAAAAAATAAGTAAATTTAGTGTAAAGATAAGCATGGAGTGAAAAGATTACATCTATTTGAAATTGCTTTGACCTTTGCATTATGTTGATATTTTGCTTATTTAATAAAATTAGAATTAACATTAACTATGAGAAATAAATCTTTTTAAGAGGTGAAATATTGTAGCACTTAAAAGTGACTTGTTGGAATAAGCATTTGACTTTGTATATCCATTTGCTGTGTATGAAATTCAGCCAAACAGCTGTATTTTTATTTTAACCAGTTATGGTGTTAGGGCTTAATAGTTCACCTTTCTGTTGTAACATGAGTCAATAAGTTTACTGCAGAAAGCTCTGGAGACTTTCCTGTGGAGCTATGAACCAAGCCAGTCTTGATTATTTAGGAACTACTAATGTACTTTATGTGTGAAGTTAAGTACACATGCCCTCATCATTTTTGTAGTGAATTAATCCTCCCTTCCCTTTTATTATTAATTTACAAATTTTATTCTTCTTATGAAAAATAAGACATTCTTAATTTTGGTAATTTGCATTCCATGGAATACTACCAGTTTTATCTGTGTATATGAAATTTTTCTTTAGTTCCCCAGGTTCTCCAAAGCTGCACAGCATTCATTGAGAGATATGGCATTGTGGATGGAATATATCGTCTTTCTGGAGTTGCCTCCAATATCCAGAGACTACGGTAATAACTGTCCATGGCATTTTCATTTTTATTCCTGATTAGCTCATTAAAATGCAATTATTTTAAAACTGAGTAACTTACATTGATAATCATAATTTTGGTAAGATAGTTGAGATAAAATAGGATATAATACCCATATTGTTCTCTCTGTATAATTTTTATCCATATTGTTCTCTCTTTTTTAAAAAGTTTTTTAATCTAATTTGTTACATATGATAGCAGAATGCCTTACAGATCATATTACACATAGAGCACAATTTTTCATATCTCTGATTATATACAAAGTATATTCACACCATTTGTGTCTTCATACATGTACTTAGGGTAATCATGTCCGTTTCATTCCACTGTCTCTCATACCCCCATTCCCTCTCCCTTGACCTCCCATTCCTTTGCCCTGTCTAGAGTTCGTCTATTCCTCCCAGGCTTCCCCTCCCAACCCCACTATGAATCAGCCTCCTTATATCAGAAAAAACATTTGGCATTTGGTTTTGGGATTGGCTAACTTCACTTAGCATCATATTCTGCTAAATGGCATTTCTTTATCTGTAGTGTCAGAGAACCATGCACCTTAACCTCTTCAGTACTGTATTGTGTATTTCTTTTCCTCTTTGTGATGTTTGAAGTTATTAACAAATGAGTTTGAACTTATAACAACAGTGGGGGGTGAAATTTACATTATAATAAATTATTCTTTGGTTCTTAATTAAAATTGATGTGAGTGAAACCTTTTCTAATCTCCTTTGACCCTAATTCAGTAGTGTATGTTTATGTATGAGATAAAAGTAGTGGTATCCTCTATAAATAAAATACAAATTTTATTTTTGCTTACCTCTTGGATTCTGGGCTATTCTTGATATACTGTTATTTCTTTTTCACTGTGATGCATGGTAACTGCCACTACTCTGTAGGAATTTTACTACTTTAATTAACCACAGAGCTCATCTTTGTTTTTAGGAATACATGTTAGAAAGCACTTAAATCAGTTTTTGTACTGAAGACTGTTTACTCTTTAGTTTCAGACACAGTAAATTTCATATTTATATTGTCCACACACATTAATTCTTCAGATGATAGTTAGCTTCATGCCTATGAATTAATATTAATTAACCTCCTGGAGATTAAATTTAATTTGCCTTAGAATTTAGAGCACAACTTTTTTTAAAATATTTTGTTTTTAGTTGTAGTTGGACACAATACATTTACTTTATTTATTTATTTTTATGTGGTGCTGAGGATCGAACCCAGCACCTCAAACATGCTAGGCGAGCGCTCTACCACTGAGCCACAACCCCATCCCCTAGAGCACAGCTTTTATTTCACTCACTCTAATATTATAGATTTTACTGTCTATTAAAATTTGTTATTTGCTAGGAATTACTTTATATTGTTTCTGGCTTTCTTATCCTGCTTGGGCTGTATACTACTTGTAGCTGAGAAGTTTCTGTATCTAGTTGTTTGTAGACGAGTTGCTACTCAACCCTGGATTTCGGAGTTGCCAAAGTATTAGTTATTCAAACCATCAGAAATTTGGAATCCTGTTTTCAAATTGATGTGCTGTAAGAGCTAGTCTTTTGAATGCATTTCAGAGGTCATTGCCCATTTTAATATTAAAGCTATGCCATTAATTTCTATGTAGAAAGATGCTTATCTTGTGGTAATACATCCACTTACTGCTGAAGTCCAGATATAACTTATATAAATTTTAATAATTTGAAGAAAATAGCAATTCACTGAGGTAAAGTTGAGCGTTTTGGGCCAGAGATTATTTCCATTTTAATATTAAAGCTATGCCCTTAATTTCCACATAGATATCTCTCTAATAATAATATATCTGGTTACTGCTGAAGTCCAGATATAACTTAACATGAATTTTAATTTGAAGAAAACAGTAACTCACTGAGATTAGAGGTGAACATTTTGTATTGTTGCTTTCAGGATTTAAGTCATGTATTTGCTTTTCTCAGTCACATAATTTTGTTTTGTCCTCATCCATCTGAGTCAGCCATGAATTTGACTCCGAACATGTCCCCGACCTGACGAAGGAACCTTATGTTCAAGACATCCATTCGGTGGGCTCCCTCTGTAAGCTGTACTTCCGAGAGCTCCCAAACCCTCTGCTCACCTACCAGCTGTATGAGAAATTTTCTGTAAGTATCAGTCATACTTGACTCAAAGTCTTGGTGTAGAGCTCTGCTATTTTTTTGTTTAATTTATATGACGTTTGGTGTGGTCCCATGTGGATATGTGGGACCAAAATAGCCCCTTAAAACATAACAAAACAAAACAAAAAACCCACCAATTATTGCCAGCTAGTCTGTGGTGATGATTGCTGTTTTCACATTATCATTCTTTTAGTTCTGATTTTGAGCCACTGACCTTACCACCTGTGTTTTTAAGCATTATGATTTAGTAGATTCCAGTGTTGACATTGTGTGAAAACCAAGTTTGCATCCTTCAGGCTCTATTGTGTTTCCTTGTCATTTAGCATCAAAGAATACAGTGAGTTAATCTTATAATCTCAGAGGAAAAACAGAATGATAAATGAAGAACTGTCATTTTTACCAGCAAAACCTACTGGTTTATTCTGTTATGAACTGTTGTTACAGGATGCCGTTTCAGCAGCAACAGATGAAGAAAGGCTGATAAAAATTCATGATGTCATTCAGCAGCTCCCCCCGCCACACTACAGGTGAATCACATTGGTGAATATCCACCAGAGGCATGTCAGTTGATTTGTAAAAATGTTGATTTTTCCCTTCCTTTGGGTTTCTAATTACTTAAATTTCCTTGAAGTTCCACTTCTCTGGAATGGATTTTATTCATATATGTTTTGACTAAACCTGAGGTTTTGTCTGTTTGTTTTTTCTGTTAGGTTTTATTGTATTCTAATTTTGTCTTGCTACTTTTTTTTTTTTTTTTTTTTTTGGTAGTGGTGCTAGAGTTGAACCTTGAACCTTGCACATGCTAGTAAGATGCCCTCTGCCACTCAACTAGACTCTCTTGTTGCTACCTTTTAAACCCCAGTTTGATTTATATGTTAGTTTGAATTTTCAGATATATTTTTGTTTATGTCTGAGAAGACCAGAATAAAATTAAGGATTGCTTTGCCATTTAGTGAAAGAAAGAAAACAGTTGAAACTGTATATTATAGTATGCAAAAAGAATTAAGACATTTTTAAAATTCAGTTGTTAAAAAGAAATTAGATTTAGCACAAATTCTAGTACAAATAATAGTTTAATGCTGATTTATTTTCAAAATGACATTGCTTATATATCATTTTTTAAATCAGTACTCTACTCAGCATTAAACCAACCTAACATTTTTTTAATCTGTACTAAAATCAGACCATATTTTAAAATCAGCACTCTACATGCAAATGCATAATGGGCATGAGTGAGAAGGTAATATAGCATTGACTTACTGTTCTGTTAATGTCTTAGGAGAAATTTGATAAAATTAAAGGGATCTAAGAATCCATTGAATAGTGAAAAAGGAAAATTAAGGAGCATTTATGACATAAGCCAAAGAAAATTGATGTATTTATACTGTAAAGGAAAGCCAAGGAGATAAGTCTGATTAATACAGAGTTATTTAAAGAATATTATTGAGGGAGAAGACATTCTTTATTAACTCGTCAGTGAAAGGAACCTGGTACAAGGTAATATTGGCTTTGATAGGTTGGCTTGAGTTTGGAATTTCCAAATCTATCCCTTACTACCTGTGTGATATCTCTAAACATCAGTCTTCATGTTCATGAACAGAATACTGATAATTTCTTTTCCCCCTCCTCCCACTTCTCCTCTTTCTTCTTTTTGTTTTTCTTCAGTACAGGGGTTTGAATCCAGGAACACTCTACCTCTGAACTACATCCTCAGTCTTTTTTATTTTTTATTTTTTCACTTTGTTTTAATTAGTTATATATGACAATGGAATGCATTTATGCACTTTGATATATCATACATAGATGGGGTATAATTTCTCATTTTTCTGATTGTATATATTATAAAGTCACATCAGTCATGCAGTCATATATGTACATAAGGTAATAATGTCTGTTTTATTCTACTATCTTTCTTATCCCCATATTTCCTCCCCTCCCTTCACTCCCCTCTACCTAGAAGAACTCTGTTCTTCCCTAGCACCCCCGCCCCCCTTATTGTGAATTAGCATCCACATATCAGAGAAAAACATTCGACCTTTGTTTTGGGGGATTGGCTTATTTCTTTTAGCCTGACATTCTTTAACTTCATCCATTTACCAGCAAATGCCATAATTTCATTCTTATTTCATATTGCTCCCCTACTATCTATGTAGTCTTTTCTATTAAACATTAGGTATCTTTCCTTCAACATATTATATATTGAATACCTATCTGACTATATGTTTTTTTAAAATATTTTTTAGTTGTCAGTGGATCTTTATTTATTTATATGTGGTGCTGAGAATCAAACCCAGTACCTCACACATGCTAGGAAAGTGCTCTACCACTAAGCCACAACCCCAGCCCCGTCTATATGTTTTTTATATATAATTTATTACCTATTCAGTATGTAACCTCTCTAAAACATGAACTTCTTAAGGTCATGAATTCTGTCTTGTTTATCATTATATTTTCAGAATAAAGCCTTGAACATAATAAGTGTTTAATAATATACATTGCATGTGTATTTTATATGTTTTGTACACTATATATTCAGTTGCTTGATACTATATATGTGTGTATATTGTAGATCCTAATATTAAAACAGTCCCCAGTTGTATTCCAGGAAGGTTTATGCAGTTTCCACTCTCATCTGCTGAATATGAAAGTGCTCACTTCATGGGGTCCTGACTGAAATTCTCCATTAACTTTTAAAAACATCTTTATAATCAGATGAACTAAATAGGTATCTTTGGTTATTTTAATTTTTTATTTCTTACATTGTCTTTTAGACACATTTCTTAAAGCTTCCCACCTCTACATAATCTCCAGGCCAGGTCACTTTTCTTTTCTCTTTTTGTGTTTTTTTAATTTTTATTTATTTATTTTTGGTGTGTGTGTGTGTGTGTGTGTGTACATAAACTTGCCAGGGATTAAATCCAGGGGTGCTTTACTGTATCACCAGTCTATTATTATTATTAATTTTTTGTTTTAAGACAGGGTCTCACAAAATTGCTGAGGGTCTTGCAAAGTTGCTGAGGCTGTCCTTGAACTGGCGATCCTCCTACCTCAGCCTCATGAGTTGCTGGGATTTCAAGTGTACACTACTGTGCCCAGCTAGGCCAGCTGTCTGTGTTTTTTATCTGATTATATACAGGAGGGACAAAAACTACCATAGATGCTGTTGAAGGAGCAGGCAGTTTCAATCCATGCTGACCTTGATTTGAATCCTGTCATTGCCACTGCTTGTCTGTATAATTTCAGGTTAGCCTTGACTTCTCCCTCCCTACAAAGGAGCTGGGAATACTGTATGTGATTAGACTATGAGAATTAAATGAGATTCCCCCTGACAAAACAGGGTTCCTAGTCCCAAAGCTATCTTCCTGCTCCTCCCAAGTCCTTGTTAGGCCCTCCAGAATCTTTGTGGCTTATATGTAGACCAAAATTTTACTTTCATTGCTGTTTCTAATAATAAAATCTTATATTTCTGACTTTCATTTGTTTGTTTTTAATAGTTTTAATCCCTATCCATTTAGATATAGGGACACTGAGATGTGATAACTGATAGATAATATTTGTGTGTGGTTGCTCAAAAATTCTCCTCTTGATGTCTGTTGGAATTTTTATTTTCGGCCTTTGAAACATTTTTTTTCTTTCATGGAAGTATTTAAATCCTTTCTTATTAGTTGTCTATTGCAAGTAAATATTATATCTTCAAAATGTCCTTTGTTCCAGAAAATAGCTTTTGTGGAGAATTCAATTCTAATAATATTTGAACTTAGTAGGCAGCAAAAAATGTGCTTGGGTTTGTATGGTCTCTTTCTATTGAAAATTTACAAATCAATTAGTGGCTTTTATGCTATATACTGCTCCATAAAGTCTTTGTCTGTTAATATGTTGTATTTCATTTTTTAGAACACTGGAGTTCCTGATGAGGCACTTGTCTCTTCTTGCGGACTACTGTTCCATCACAAATATGCATGCAAAAAATCTAGCAATTGTCTGGGCTCCAAACCTGCTTCGGTAATTTGCATTGACTTATGACCTTTAATAGAACTGATTGTTTTAGTTCTATTACTAGAACCAAAAGTGTAATTCATCAGTGTTTGTTAAGGAAAAATTTAAAGAGGAAGGCAAATTATTTCTTTTATTAGCATCTCCCCAAAATAGGCATATGGGGCTTAGCTAAGTTACTATAAAAGTATGATTTCTTTCTCTGATTTGCCTGTGATTTACACATTTTTAAAAGATGTTCTTTATGACTGTCTCTTTGTAATTGATGGCAATGTTGTTTACCTCACAGATCAAAACAGATAGAGTCTGCCTGTTTCAGTGGAACAGCTGCTTTCATGGAAGTAAGGATTCAGTCTGTGGTTGTTGAGTTCATCCTCAATCATGTAGACGTGCTCTTCAGTGGCAAAATCAGTGCAGTCATGCAGGAAGGGGCAGGTATGACACAGATTTTATTTGCTCCTGGAAACATGTATCTAAACTTCTAAAAGATGGAAAACTTTGTATTGCTTGTCTCAATTAAAATATGGCATTAGAAGACAGCGAATTTATGTCCATTTTTCATAATGCACAAATTGAGTTATTTTGTGTGAATACAATGAACACTATATATCAGACCTATTGTGATCTAAGTTCATGACGTATAAAACAAGTCTTGGCACCTTTTATTGATGTATATTAAGGTACTTTGTGGAACAGAGAAGAAAAATTTCTTCCAAAACTAAAAATGCCTTTTGGTTATCTTTTAAGAAGGGAAAATAAATTATTAAAGAAGGTGTGTGTGTGTGTGTGTGTGTGTGTGTGTGGCTCTGGTCTGGTTATGTCATTTTGTGTTTCTCTCTGGATATAAAGTGCTTTGATTATTGCCATTTAAAAGACCTGAAGGAAATATGATACAACACTGATTGGCAGATAGAGGATAAACAGGTTGATACATGCTAAAATTGTTGACTACGTCATTTCTTTCTTTTTCTTTTTGAAGCTTCTCTGTCAAGGCCCAAATCTCTGTTGGTATCCTCTCCATCCACCAAGCTGCTGACATTGGAGGAAGCCCAGGCAAGAACACAGGCTCAGGTCAATTCTCCAATTGTAACTGAAAATAAATATATTGAAGTAGGAGAAGGACCTGCTGCACTTCAGGGGAAATTTCATACCATAATTGAATTCCCACTTGAAAGGTAAAATTTATTAATTCCTGTTTAAGAATGTGATTTTCATAGCCATGTGCTATTACTTCCTTTTAGTTTTTTCTTTCTGAACTTTTTGGAGGTGCTAGGGATCAAACCCAGGGCTTTGCACATGCCAGGCAAGCACTCTACCACTAAGCCACATTCCAGGTCTGCTTCACATTTAATTTTGTACTATAGTATTCACATATTAAATTATGGGCCAGTCCCACAAACCCTGTTTATCTGAATGTGAATGATGCTTAACACCTCAAAGGGAATGATAAGAATTAGTTTTGCAAAAGCATCACAGAATAATGTCATAAAAAAAAGTCATTTGGGCAAAAATGGTGCACTATTTATGTGGTGTGGATTTTTCTCTCCAAGATACGTTTTTTAGAAATTTGTTTAGAAGTAAGCTGTTTTGGAACAGTTTATTCAGAAAGTAAGTGGATAATGACTTGCTTGAAATTGGTTCCATGTTAAGGTTCAGATAGGTCAGTGGTTCTTAAAGTGTATTCTCTTGACCAACAACACCAATGTCACCTAATAGCTGTAGTAATCCTCCAGCCCCATTCCAAGCCCACTGTACCAGGAGCTCTAGGATAAGTCCTTTGTCAAGCTTCCCAAGCAGTTGTGATGTTTTCAAAAATTAGAGAACCACTGTAGTGTGCCCTGTCAGTGTCCTTTCCAGCTCTGAAATTCTCTGTACCTCTAAAGAAATGATAATAACATGATTTCTGTATCTTCTTTACTAGGTTATAGTAGGAAGATTAATGTATGTAAAAGTTATTTTTGATGTCTCTGCTACTCCTTTGGCTATTGCACATGAATGTAAGGATCTCACTTCTCTGGATGGGATTGTACTAATAATAATGCATTAGAATGTCTTTTTCCCATATTTTATTATACTCCTCTAACTTCCTTTTGCTTCCCATGACTAAAAGAGCAAAAAGTTGAGACATACTCTTAGCATCTTGGTTTTATACTTTAGCTCCATAATTTACTCAAGATCTTCCTTATAGACTTGCATTTAAAAGAGTAGATACTGGGGTGTAGATAGACTTGGGTTTCAAACCTGACTCCATCACTTACTACTTTTATAACTTTAAGGAAGTTACTTGAATGACTAATTTCTTCAGCTGTACAATGAAAATATGATTATATCTTAATATAATTATATCTGATTTAAAGGAAATACTATGTATAAGGTGTTAATGCAGTGTTTGGCATTAAATGTATACTAGTTTTTTCTTTTTTTGTTCTTATTCTCTCTACTCATACCTAAAATCATTTTATTCAACTGTGTTTTATTTTTGGAGGTCCGAACAGTTCTATTTGCATTTGTGTCTTATTCTCACTTCGTTGCAGCTTGTGATGTTGGCTGTAAATATGAAGATATGCATAAAAACGATCTTTGTGAAACTGGTTACTAATAAGAAATCTGCTCCTTTAAGTTCCATTTCATGCTTTAGCTGCACTGTGTTGCGTGTACCCTGTAGAAGGAGGGGGCTTGTTTATTCTTTCAGCTATGCCTCTCCAGGTTGTTTGGTTTGTTTTGTTCTTTCTACTATTTGTTCATTTTTTTTCTATAAGACAGACTCTTGGCTGTCTTAACATTGATTAATTATTTTCTGTCTCATAGAAAGAGGCCTCAAAATAAGATGAAGAAATCTCCTGTGGGCAGCTGGCGTTCATTTTTCAACTTGGGGAAATCATCATCAGTCTCTAAGCGGAAGTTGCAGCGTAATGAGAGTGAGCCTTCAGAAATGAAAGCTATGGCTCTCAAAGGTAAGTGCCTTCCCACAACACTGTTCTGTGGCTGGCAAGCATTTTGTCTACTAAGTCCCCTCTACTGCCTAGTGATAACCTTTTGTTTCTCTGGGCACGTTCTGCATGTGTTATTATGATAGGCTATCCTTTAATATGTGCACAGTTGTGTGGTCCAGGTGGATTGTCTTCGTGACCAATTCTTTATCACCAACTTGAAATCATATGAATACAAAGAGGGACCCAATTTCTTAAGGACACTATGTAGATTATATGTAGGATGAAGTGATTAAAAATTCAAGCATATTGTAACATAGCTTATATATTATTAGTAATAAACAAATACTGCTGTACTAGTTTTTTAATTGATATTTTTGTAACTTTAAAAAATGACAAAACTATGTTTCAATATGTCTTTGAGGTTTATATATCTTATAATCAAAGAAATATAGTTTAAAATTCATGTTCTGATAATAGCTTCTGAATCTAGAAGGGATTTTTTTCTTAAGTAATGTTGGCAGTGTAATGTTCAGTTCATTTAATTCATCATTCATTCAGTTTGTAGTCATGTACCAAGCGTGTCTTAGGTATTTTGATAGCAGGCCCTACAGATAGAAAGAAAATTAAGGTAGCATACTGCCTATAGCATCTTAATTGGAAAGTCCCATGTATAAGGAAATAAATTTCAGTGCATAATCATAACTATTGAAACAGTTTTGTATAAGATATCTGTGATAGGCATTGTCTGATCTTTTGGGGCAGGGCTGGTAGTAAGAAAGATAACCGTAGATTTGAATATTGAAGAATAAGTAGGGATTTCACCTAATCAACAAGGGTCTAAGAATTGGGTTTCAAGACATAGGTGCAGGGTGAGAAGAGAAGCAGATTACAGACACAATTCTGAAGAAAAGCAATCATTAAAGGACTATAAAAGGAAGAGTTGTCATGAGAATAGAGTGAGAAGTGGTCAGGAAAGTAGGCAAAGAACAGGAGGATTGGGTGATATCTCCATTAGGGAGAAGGGGCTGAAAATGGAAGTGCCCTCAATGCTACCAATGGATGAGAGAGGATGGAGGTGTCTAGCAAATAAGATTCACCATATGTAATTGAAATTACTATAAGTATTTCCTAGGCCAATTGTAAAAGACTAGTACAAATCAAGTGACTTAAAACAATAGAAATACATTCTTTTACTGCTGTCAGCAGGGCTGTGCTCCAGGGAAGAATCCTCCTTTGCCTTCCTTGCATCTTCCTGCTCCTGATGGCTCCTGGCATTTCTTGGCTTGAGGCAGCATCACTCTGTCTCTGCATCCATCTTCACAGGGCTTTCCCTGTGTTTCTCTGTCTTCTCTTCTTGTAAGGACTTCAGTCACTAAGGGTGGGGCCACTGTAAGTCTAATGTGATATCATCTCTGGGTATCATGTTGGTCTTTAGGAAATACACAAGAAAAGTCTTTTAGTTAATCTCTATGCTCAAGTTCATAATCCTTTAGAAAAGAGAGTTGAACATGGGACACCATTTGAGAATAGTACAACACTTTATATAAGAAGGTGGTAAATTGAATGTGACTCTCAATCTGTACAGCCAACCACTCTGGGAAATTTAAGCATGTGTTAGGAAAAACACTGATCCCTTTAACTGTATAATATGCGGCAAAATTAAAATTAAACACTTTTTGGTTTTGATTCTTCAGGTGGCAGAGCAGAAGGAACCCTTCGCTCAGCAAAAAGTGAGGAGTCTCTTACTTCTCTTCATGCAGTTGATGGTAAGACTGAAAGAATCAATTGTTTTATTCCATGATAGCTTGCATAAGAGAACATGAACATAGCACTTGGGTGTACTTTATAAATATATACTTAATAAATAGACTATTGATTATCATTTCCAAGAATTCTAGTATTTAGTATTGTTCAGATTACAGTTCTTTGCTGTTCTAATATGGCAGCAGTATTTTGGCAGGATTACTATTTAAATGGCTAAAATGTTTTAAATTAACCATTTATATTGATTAATGCCTGTAAAAACTGGGATTTCAACTGTCTCCTTCTTTAACTTTCACAAGTGGGAACAAAATGTTTGCTACAAAATATAAAGTGAAGCATTTTGATGTTTAGACCAGTTGTCTTCCAAATTGCTTAACCTGACCTTAAATTTCATAAAGCAGATTGATTATAGCTGGTCTCATTGTCCCAGGATAATTAGCACTTGGAGAAGCAATGTAAAATGGATCTGTTTAAAATCGGGACCAAGATTTCATGGTAACCATGAAAAAGGTTTTGTTGCAATGTAACTTGACAAACAAAACTAAAATATTAAAATAAATGTGTATTATATTGTTTAGTGAAGTTAAATTATAGTTGCAACTATTTACTAAACCAGGAATTATTCCAACATTGACTTGGAAGAAGGTACAATATTTTTTGACAAATGTAAGAACTTTATTTGATCTTTGATTTGTGCCACAGATTATAAAGAAGGCCCTTTCTACAAAAGTAATCAAAAACTATATCAATTTTCCAAGGGCTTTTCTTAATCTGTTGATATTCAGATCATGTGCTTTTCAAGTATCCCTGTATCATCATCTTGATCAATTTTCTCATCTTCATTTATTAACCTTTCTAACTGCCAGATCTTCATTGACCAGTGATTTTTCTTGTGATTCATAGTGCTCCCACATCACACTATCTGAGTGGCTGACAATCTTAGAAAAGTTCTCCAAGATTTTTAATTAAACTATAGTCAGCATAATCTATGAAAACAATGCAATGGACTAAGTTCATGTCAAGTGGAAAATAATATTTGGGTCAAGATTATGTTTTTAAGTGGTAGATATATCAGTATATATATTTATGTTAAGATAGCTTCTCACTTCTTTTTTTTTTTTTAATTTTTTATTGTTGGTTGTTCAAAACATTACAAATTTCTTGACATATCATATTCCACACTTTGATTCAAGTGGGTTATGAACTCCCACCTTCACCCCATACACAGATTGCTCACTTCTTATATTACATTTTCACTATGGCAATTAAAAGTCTCATAGAATAAGTGGTTTCATTTTTACCAGTTGGACTTTTAGCAACATCATAAAATTGCATAATACTACCACTCCCCAGGACTCTGCTTGAGAAACTGAAGGCCTAGTCTTATAAATAAAAAAAAATGAAATTAAGTGTTCGAAAGGAATAATTTAAGTATATGTTAATGCTATTTAATCAAGATTTTTTTTTTTGAAATTTGGGTAGCATAGGATATTTCCTCCAAAGAAACAACCTTTTTTGCTATTTTATGTCCAAAATGCTATCTAAAGTGATTTATTTTACCTCACAAGTCATGTGTGAGGCTAGTGATACAATAAGACACAAAGAAATGAAAAACTTGCCCAGAGTCACACAAAGAGTCAGTGTTGGACCAATAACAATTCAAGAGTCCTGGTCCTTTTTCTTATCAAAACCATGAAGCACTGCATTCTCCCTCTGATTATATGAAATGTGCTTGCTATTTAGCATTTGGTTGGGGAGTTTTGTTATTGCAATGATCTGTGTGTCTCGAGACAGTTTACAAAAAGAAAATGAAAAGTTGCATTTTCTTACCTAAATGGTGAGTTACTGCTATACCAAGTAGGTGGCTTCTCATGGCATTATATATCCTGTGACATTCATACTTTGACATTGTTGTCCATTTTTACTAGGTGATTCCAAGCTCTTCCGACCCAGAAGACCCCGATCTAGCAGTGATGCCCTGTCTGCCTCTTTTAACGGAGAAATGCTGGGGAACCGCTGTAATTCCTATGATAATCTGCCCCATGACAATGAGAGTGAGGAGGAGGTAGGGTTGCTGCATATCCCAGCTCTCCTGTCTCCTCATTCAGCTGAGGATGTTGACTTGAGCCCTCCAGATATTGGAGTAGCCAGCCTGGATTTTGATCCAATGTCATTTCAGTGTAGTCCCCCTAAGGCCGAATCAGAATGCCTGGAGAGTGGTGCTTCCTTTTTAGATTCATTAGGATACTCCAAGGATAAACCATGTACCAGTAAAAAGGATGTAGAACCAAGTGGTAGCCAGTCTCAGACTCCAGGAAGCACAGCAAGTTCTGAACCTGTCTCTCCAGTTCAGGAGAAAATGAGTCCATTCTTTACCCTGGACCTGAGCCCAACTGAAGAGAAGTCATCCAAATCATCCTCATTTACTGAAAAGGTCGTCTATGCTTTCTCTCCGAAGATTGGACGAAAATTAAGCAAATCGCCTTCCATGAACATATCTGAGCCGATTTCAGTGACCCTTCCACCTCGGGTCTCAGAAGTCATCAGTACTGGCTCAAATACTGCAGCTCAGAATGCATCATCTCCAACCTGGGACAAAAGCACAGAAGAAAGTGATATCACAAATAGATCCCCCACCCAAATAGTAAAGATGAAAACAAATGAGAGAGAGGCCCAAGAAGGATGCGAACCTGAAATCCAGCCCCTGGACCAGGTAGCTGCTGAAGAAATAGAGTTGCCAGGGAAAGAGGAGCGGTCTGTCTCAAGCAGTCAGAGTAAGGCTGTAGCTTCTGGACAGACTCAGACAGGTACCGTTTGTTTTCCTCCATTCTTTCTTTAAATTAAGAGGGATCTTCAATCTTGTAAATCCATCTGTGCCTTTTAAGAGAGAATTTGCTCCACAGGTAGCCTTTAATCCAGGAGAATGCTTCTCTGAGCATTGGCAGATGGCTCAAGCCCCACATTAAAGTCAGTCAAACAAAACTCCCCAAAGAGCTTGTGGTCCTGCTTCAGACCATCACAAAAGTCCCTTACCTGTATGGACAGTGAGAATTCCTTGATAATTTTTTGTACAACTTCATAGCTCTTGAATCAATTTTCTCTTCTAATGAATATCATTATTGTAGCCTTACAAGTTAACAGCCTATACCATCCAGTGTGAAAACTAGCCTTAGTAACAATCCATAAGCCTTGAAGCTTGTGTTTTAAGCAATCTTTTCTGAGCCCCCTCCCCATTTCTGTAGCAATTCAAGAGGAGCTTGCAACCTTTAAGCACTCTTAGTTTTCCTTCCAAACGAGATGTATTTTCTACAGCATTTGCATGTGGGATAGAAGATCATGGATTGCCATTTTGAAATATGGAAGGCACCTGTTTTTAAATAATCAAGTGGGGAGTGTTTGGCTTTCTGTATAGGATAACGTAAGCTACCTTTTCATTCTCATTTTTTTTCCCAATTTCCCACTAGGAGCAGTTACCCATGACCCCCCTCAGGAGCCTGTTCCTGTCAGTTCAGTCTCTCTTATCCCACCGCCACCGCCTCCGAAAAATGTCGCCCGAATGTTGGCGCTAGCATTAGCTGAGTCTGCGCAGCAAGCCTCTACTCAGTCACTGAAGAGACCAGGGACTTCTCAGGCTGGGTACACAAATTATGGAGACACAGCAGGGGCTACAGCTGAAGATAAACTGCCCAGTCCGTACTCTAGTATTTCTCTAGATAAGGCCTATTTCCAAACAGATCGACCAGCAGAGCAGTTCCACCTCCAGAACAATGCACTGGGAAACTGCAACCAGCCTCTCCCAGAGACAACAGCTGTTGGGGATCCTACTCATACCAAGGTAAATGAATCTGGGGAGCAACTCCACCAAGTAGACTTACCAGGAAACCATCTACATCGAAACTATTTATCTGGGGACCCAGAAAAGGCCAGAATTACTTTAGTTCCCTTAACAGACTCAGAAAAGTCTGATGATCATGTAGGTTTCCCTGAAGACCAGGCTGGGAAGACCACTGTGGCAACCATCCCCTTCGTAGAGCAGGACCAGTCTGCACTCCATTTCTACAGTGGGGATCAGTCTCCTGCCTACCTTGGTGCAAGTGTGGATCAGCCCCATCACCCTTCAGAACTTGCAGACCAATCTTCCATGCCTTCAAATTTGCCTAGAGACAAAAGCTGTCCTCTTTCTGGGTCCCCTGAAGAGAATACCAGCACAGCCACCATGACTTACATGACAGCGACTCCAGCAACAGCTGAAATAAGCACCAGGGATGCCAGCTGGGCTGTGAGTGAACAGCCCACTGCCACTGGGTTTGCTGTTGCTACCCTTCAGCGCACACACAGAAGTCATCGCCCTCTCCCCCCGCCTCCTGCCCAGAGGACCACAGAGCAGCTGCCAGTCGCGGGGCAAGTACAAGCTGCAGCCAGTATAGGACTGAATGATTCCCACAAGGTAAGAAGAGAGAAGGTTGGTGAGATGAAATATGCTTTCCCAAAGGTATGTCATTTTTCAGCAGGGTGTGTTGTTATCTTTGATAACAACTTTATTTGAATACAACATAATTTTTAACACTTATGGCAGGTTTCCATGAAATACTTCTGGTTTGAAGTTAGGGTTCTGCCTTTGCCTGGCTGCTGCAGCAGTTACTAAATGACTACAATTTTATACCTGGTACCTTTTCTTCCTACATTTCTTTATGGTTATACAAAGGGATAACATGAGACAAACTGGGCTTTAGCTGTCATGCATGTGGGGGTTTTTTGTTTTTTGTTTTTTCCCTTTTGGAAATCCATCACTGACTCACCGTGACTTTGGGCAAGTCATGTATGAGTACGCTATGCCAATCATTCCCATGTACTCAATGAAAATGCCTCACTCTGAAGATATCTCTGCCTGTTTTAGAAGTGTAAAAGATTTTAGTACATTAGGATTTTTTGTTATTTTTCTCAACCTTAACCAGCAGATTGCTCCATAATCAAGTATGTATTTTGAAGAGAGAGTGTTATATACAAAATGCTAAAAGTTGTCACACAGGTTTTTTTTTTTTTTTTTTTTTTTTGTGGTCACCTTCAATTGAAAGGACTTAAATTCTTAAATTTCTGGTCCTTCCTTGGAGGATGCTAGTTCTAGCAATTACTTTTCAGAGAGAGCTTATTTGCTTATTTCTGTGAGGATTGTATTTGGCCTATGGGTCCACAAATGAGTTGGTCAAAGGTAGGGAGAGAGATAACCTCTGACTTGAATGCCACCTTGGACAAGTCACTTGTCTGTATTAGGGGTTCACAACTTCTCTCTATGTCCAACTGTGAACCACTTCCAGATGATAGAATCATTATATTTATTGAATAAAGTGTTCTTGATGTTGAGACTAAGCTAGAGCAGTAGGGCAAATATTTATTTTTAAGCTTGACAGTGTTATTTGACAAACCTTTCGGTCTTCACATTAAGACATCATCATAGGCAACCTCCTCTCATATTTAAAACCCATCACAAATGGAGAAAACCCTGAACAGTTCTCCAGAGATGGTAATATACCAGGTAGCAGCATAGGCTCTTTTTCCTGCCAGTGGGAACAGGTCCAGTACAACTGCATGGCTTGGGAAGGTTAAAGCTGCTGCCTAAATAGCCTCAGTTTGTGAGTTACAAATTAATAGCATTTGATTTCATAAGGGGAGTGTAAAAAAAATGGACTCATAATATTTTCATCTTTGAATAGGTTCACGGAGTAGTTCCAGCTCCAGAGAGGCCACCTGAACCTCGAGCCGTGGATGACCCTGCACCCATCTTTGTCAGTGATAGCTGTGCAGCTGCTGCTCAGTGTCCTATGGTTACTACTGCTCTCCAGCCAGGCCTGCCTGAGAAAGTGCGGGAGAGTACCAGGGCCCCACTGCTCCACATGCGAGCCGAGTCCTTCCCTGGGCACTCCTGTGGCTTTTCTGCACCAATGCCCCCCACCAGAACAATGGAGAGTAAGATGGCTGCCGCCATGCACTCCAACAGTGCAGATGCCACTAGCAGTTCAAATTACCACTCCTTTGTCACTGCGTCATCAGCCTCAGTGGATGATGTGTTGCCTTTGCCACTGCCTGTCCCACAACCTAAGCATGCTTCTCAGAAAATAGCTTATTCCTCCTTTGCTAGGCCTGATGTCACCACTGAGCCCTTTGGTCCAGAAAACTGTTTGCATTTCAATATGACTCCAACCTGCCAATTCCGTCCCCAGAGTGTACCTCCACATCATAATAAATTGGAGCAACACCAAGTGTATGGTGCCCGATCAGAGCCACCAGCCTCCATGGGTCCTCGTTATAACACCTATGTGGCCCCGGGAAGAAACACGTCTGGACACCACTCTAAGCCATGCAACCGGATGGAGTATGTTTCTTCTTTGAGCTCCTCAGTTAGGAATGCTTGCTATCCTGAAGATATTCCACCATACCCTACCATCCGAAGGGTGCAATCTCTCCATGCTCCCCCATCTTCCATGATTCGTTCTGTTCCCATTTCACGGACAGAAGTTCCCCCAGATGATGAACCAGCCTACTGCCCAAGGCCCCTGTACCAGTTTAAGCCATATCAGTCCTCCCAGGCCCGCTCAGATTATCATGTAACTCAGCTTCAGCCTTACTTTGAGAATGGACGGGTCCATTACCGCTATAGTCCATATTCCAGTTCCTCTAGTTCCTATTACAGTCCTGATGGGGCCCTGTGTGATGTGGATGCCTATAGCACAGTACAGTTGAGGCCCCTTCATCGCCTGCCAAGTCGTGATTTTGCTTTCTACAATCCCAGGCTACAAGGCAAGAACTTGTACAGTTACTCTGGTTTGCCTCCACGCCCGCGGACCAACATGACTGGCTATTTCTCTGGTAATGACCATAATGTAGTAAACATGCCTCCATCTGCTGATGTAAAGCACACCTACGCCTCGTGGGATCTAGAGGACATGGAAAAATATCGCATGCAGTCTATCCGGAGAGAGAGCCGTGCACGGCAGAAGGTGAAAGCGCCTGTTATGTCTCAGTATGACAACATGACGCCAGCTGTGCAGGATGACCTGGGTGGGATCTATGTCATCCATCTGCGCAGTAAATCAGATCCTGGGAAAACTGGACTTCTCTCAGTGGCAGAAGGAAAGGAAGGGCGGCACCCAGCCAAGGCTGTGAGTCCTGAGGGAGACGACCGCTTTTATAGGAAGCATCCAGACCCAGAGTTTGACAGAGCCCCCCACCATGGAGGGTATGGCAGTATACAGGCAGAGAAGCCAACCCTCCCTCAGAAGCAAAGCAGCCTTAGGAATAGAAAGCTTCATGACATGGGTTGTAGTCTCCCAGAGCACAGGGTGCATCAGGAAGCAAGCCATAGGCAATTATGTGAATCAAAAAATGGGCCACCATACCCCCAGGCAACTGGCCAGTTAGATTATGGGCCCAAAACAATTCCAGACACTTCTGAGCCAGGCAGCTACCATAATTCTGGAGGGAAATACACCACAGGGCAGGAGTCCTTAAGATTGAACCACAAAGAGGTGAGGCTCTCCAAAGAGCTGGAGCGGCCCCGAGCCAGGCAGCCACCTGCCCCTGAGAAACACTCCAGAGACTGCTACAAAGAGGAGGAGCACCTCACTCAGTCAATGGTCCCACCCCCTAAGCCAGAGAGGAGCCATAGCCTAAAACTTCATCATACCCAGAACATGGAAAGGGACCCCAGTGTGCTGTACCAGTACCAAACACACAGCAAGCGCCAGAGCAATATGACTGTTGTGTCCCAGTATGACAACCTGGAGGATTACCACTCCCTGCCCCAGCACCAGCGAGGAGGCTTTGGAGGCGGGGGCATGGGAACATATGTGCCCTCTGGTTTTGCCCACCCACAGAGCAGGACATATGCTACAGCGTTGGGTCAAGGGGCTTTCCTGCCCACAGAGTTGTCTTTGCCACATCCTGACACACAGATTCATGCAGAATGAGCCCCGGGAGCAATAGAGTTGAAGCAGCCTCTGCTGGACAGTGGACTGTTCTATTTTTTTCAATAACCAAAAAAGATTAAAAAAAAAAATCTACAAAACCCCTGACCACGTTAAAAAGAAAATATAATAAAAGTAAACAAATCACCATCCTCCCCGCCCTTTCCTGCTTCATTACCACCTCTTTCATATATAGACTGTGTCATTTTTGTCTTTAAAAGAGATCTGAGTGATTGTAAAGCACTGTGTTGAAAACATAGTAAAGAAATTTGTCACAGACCGTACTTGCCATATAGGGCTAATTTATAAGAGCCTGAGGACTGCCTTTAACTGAATTTAAATTTAACTTTGTCTTTTCTTCTTAGCACTTGCTACCTAGTTCAGAGCAGTTTACATCTATTTCCTGGTGGGCTTTTGCATTTACTGTTATGTTCCTACGCCCCCATCAGTGGCTGCACAGCCTGCCCACATGGACACTTCTTTCCATTATCACTTCATTCATCTTGACCGAGAAGGGGCTTGTGTGTTAAATTATTTTTTTAGCCATCCTATATTAATAATTTATTAACTTTTGGTTGTATGTTAAATTAGAGTGGAGAAAACTCCCTTATCTTTCAGATAAGTCAGACAATTGGAGCATTATAATTAAAACATAAAGAAATTAAGACTTTAAACATTCAGTAGTCTCTTCACAGTGAGCAAGCTCATGTCACTACAGGAGGGATTTTTCAAGTTAGAATTTAGGGAAACATCCTAGGCAGAAGAATGTGAAATTCTTATTGTCAATTAACTTTATTAACACCAGAAAGCTGTATCATTGCTTTTAATGTGATGCCTGACTGCAGATTCCCCCCACCCAATAATATTTAGTAAATTGAGATTCCAGTAAAATGTTAACAGTACTTGTTCTTCTAAATTAGCAACCTTTTCCAATTAAAGAAAAAAATAGCGTGTTATGACTGTTTTCAGGAATATAGATTTATGTGATAATTTCTGTTTCTAAACCAGAGTATATGTTCCCTAGGAATTCTTACAGTAACTGCAAATTATCTGTACTGCATGTCATTGTTGCAGTAACCACCAAGTACACAGCCCCATGTCACCAGTTGGAGTTCCAGCAGCTACCATAATGTTCTAAGGAGTCACTCAGTATATGCTTACTCTGTATTCATATGATCACGGTCTTACTGTAATTATCATCTACACCAGCATTTCAGGTATAGCTCTTTATAACTCTGTAGACATGTTAAACATGTTTAATATCTAGGACTTTCTTTTGAAAGTTCATTCCTTATCAGAGTAGGAACAGAACATCTCTCTAGCCTAACTCTACTCTTGTTTCCCAGCCCACCCACCGCAGGTCCACCAGACTAGCAGAACAGTCCTGTATTTACTGTGTGAGCTAAGATTGTCATTCCATTCCATAACTTGTGATAATACTTGAGTTTTATACATTCACATATTGTAAATGTTCAGTTTATAGAATACACAGGAGATTTTATTCCATTTACTGGATGATTGCTGCTCTGGCTTTTTAGAACTTGGAATTATCTTTTATTTAGAGCAAAAGAAGAAATCTTTTAAGAGGCTAAAATATGCTGCTATTATTGCTGTGAAATTGTGTAAAGATTAGGATTCATGCCAGTCCTCTTTTTTTAATTTAAAAACATGTGATTACATTTTAGGGGTTTATATTTAGAAAATGAAAAATTTCAGAGCAACATATTTATATATGAAAATACTCTATAAGGTTTTCTTTTGTTCCCCAGAATTGATCAGAGGGATGCAATAAAGACCAGAGTAAAGATCTTGAAAAAACAATATGTGAAATGTCTGTAGAAGTTTAGGCCTTTACATTAAGAGTGCAGGCCCAACTGATGTTAGAAAATGTTTATGTTAGGAAACCTGAGAGGATGCTTCCATCTGGCACACAAACACATTGGGTGCTACATTGAAGAGTTGGATCTCTGGTGAATATGCAGCACTAATTTTTTTTTTAACCTTATTCATCTTTTTATCAAGTAGGCAATCCCTTGCTCCTTGGAGATCATACCAGCCCTGAAAGTTCTCACCAGCAATCTGGATGTTAGCAAGAGGGGGCTGGTGTAACTAGTAGACACATGGCTTCAGTAACTGAGGGCCCAGAAAGAAGTAGTGAATGAAGTCCAGGCCAATTTTAATATCTGTGGATTTGTTGTCACACACACATTGTTTACTCCTGAAACTAAAATCAATTTTATAAATATGACATTTAATTCCTCAGAACAACTTCTTTATTAATAATGTCCTATGGGTTTGGAAATATCAGGTAAATATTTTGAATATAGAATAATGATTCAGATTACTGGTATAAGTGTGAAACACAAACTTTAGAGAAAGTCTATAGTTTAGTTAATTATGTAGCAACAGCCTTAACTTTGGATTCAGTTATTTGAAAGACTTTGCCCACATCTTTTCCTTCCTAATATGTGGGGTAGAAATCAGATGGCAAATCACTGTGAGCCAGGTTACCTCAGCATTGTTCACCTTTGTGTGTGACTTCACAAATACAGTAATTGAATGTTATTACTTTCAAATGTTGACATGGAGCATTATGATCAAGGAAGTGGAACTGCCTTATGCATTAAACCCCTAATTTATTGAGCCATGTCTCCAGATTTTATCTTTTTGAAAAAAACTCTTGATTCCACAGTTCAGTTTGATTGAGATAAGTATTCCCTGGATGTCTGGCTAGGGACTCTAAGAGTCCCAAGGATGCCATATTCTTTATAATAAACTTAATCTGAGCCTTATTTCTTACTGTATAAATTTCCTTTTCATTCACATATTTTAAATGCTCAGTTTGAAGAACTCCCTGGGATGGTCCCAAGGGTAAGGCCTGCACAATTCCTTAGGAAGGCAAAGCATTTTTAAATATTTAGGTCAGGTTGAAAAACTCTAGAGCTACTTCTGTGAAGAAGAGGGACCATGAATGTGAGTTGGGATAGAAGAGTGGGTATCACATTTGAAGCAGAAATAGATGCTTATGATATATATTTGAAATTTGCCCCTTTAGTTCAAGAAGGAGCCTGTAAAATCCATTTATCTGTTCCATCCCTTTAGGTCACCTATTCAGTATGTTGGCAAAGTATGGTCTGAACAGAGTGTGCAAGGAAATGAATAAGAAAGTCAAAGTATGTCAGAAAGTTTCTTCCAAATGGTTAGAGGCATGTGAATTGTCAGTACTGTGTAATGGAAATGTCAGGAATGATGTATTTTTAATATGTGCAAGATAATGTTGGTGTCCACAGAGGGTCTTTTTTTCTTATCTGCTTAGTACTGTTAATGTTCAAAGAATAAAAATGATTGTTTTACAGTTTAGATTCTGAGATAGCAAAACCTGATTTTTCAACCATGACCTGCATGAGAGAAGCACCCTAGGAAGTCTTAGATCATACTTTTGATTTCTTTAATTTATATAGTGTTTTTTTATGTTTTAATATTTTTGTGAACTGGTGTAAATTGTTAATGCATATAAGCTTGTGTATTTTTGTAAATAGTTTTGTGATTTATTTCTTGCCCCATATGTAAATATTTAGAGTCTCATTTCTTCCAGACTTATTTGAAGCTGAGTTGTGGGTTTGGGGTTTTGTTTGTTTTCTTGTTTGTTTGGGTGGGGGGTGGGGAGAAGGGATTTTGTACTTGGAGATGGAGATATCTTGTGGTTTAAAGCAAATGTCCCATGAAAGCAATTCAAATATCAACAGAATTATTTCAGGTTAAAACAGACTCTCTTGTGTATGTGGTTCTTTTTTGATCTTACATGAATTATAATTGATTCGCGATTAATTTGGGATATTTGAACCAGAAGACAGATATTTGTATGACATAACCTCTTATACCAATTATTTGAGGAGGGATCCTGTTTCTGTCTGTGCCACAATCCACTGCCTGACTAAATTCCCCACAGCTCCAACACTTAACTCTTCAGAACTGGAGAGGCTTCATGATCTCTTGTGGAAAATTCAGGCAAATGTGATGCCCCTAGGGCTCTTAGGAATATGTGCTTTTTTTCTGTGGCCTGGCACCCAGTGTGCTGACCCAAGGAGGTCAAATTGGCCTCTGAACTCAGAATCCTCCGAAAGGGTGTCTGAATAAAAAACATTTTTTAAGATTCTCATACAGCATATCAGATTCCTATCTTCAGAGTAAAATAACCAATAAAGAATGATCCTCTAGACTTAGCCATATGTGGTAAACTGCCTTGTGGATATTCAGTAGAGACTGTATCCATGAAATGAATTACTATAGATCTGAGCCAAGTGCCAACCTATAACCCACTGCCTAATAGGCTGTCCAGTCTTAGCCCTGTGCCAGTTCTCAGATATTTCAGTATCAACCAGGATTTGGGGGCAGGAAGTGGCAACTCTCAATATTTAGCTATTTTAAAACTAGTTTTCCTACTGGGAGTCAAAAGTTACAAATCATTCTTCATTTGAAAAAATTAAGAACCCACCCCTATTGGTCAGTAATCAGGAAAGCGGCCTGTTTAGTCCAGATGCCCCTGGTAAGACACCTTTGACATGTTCACTGGATCTTCCAATTTTATGGGACTCTGCTAGTCATTCCAACTATTTCAGCATTTATCTCATATCTCATACTGATGAACATATAATAACTATCCCCTAAAATATGTATTTATCACTAAGGAATTGGCGAAAAATGACACTAGTGGTGTTTGAGATTTTAGTCTTTTTTTCTGTAGGAAAATGCACTTTTTAAATATTAACTCCTTTCTGCAGTAAAATCTTGGGAATCTAGAAACACCAAAACATCCTGTATGTCTTCCAACATACCTCTAGGGGGGAAATAAAAAGCTTGAGGTTTAAATTTTATTTTCAATATTTTAATTAAAGTCTCTTCATAGCACATTTGAAGCCACAAACTTTGCTGCCAGTATACATCAAGATTCATTACTTATGTCTCTCATTTATGTCTTTAGATGACTATAATTTAGTGATTCCCTCATGGACATATTTGAGATAAAAGGAGTGTTTGCTTTTATACCGAATGCTCTCTCTTACTACCAAAATATATTTTATGTTCTTTGTCCTTTTTTCTTTTTAATACCCTTCTTGGCATTGTTTCTTTTATTATCTATAGACTTCCATCCTCTCCCTCTTTGTGGTTCTAGTCCCTCTTGGAAATCACCCAATTAGGTCCTCAAAATGGCAAACAAAAGGAAGTTCTGAACTGGGCACTTGAAAGGTTGTCCTGAACTGCGCAGCCTCTGCATCATCTGTTTGTTTGTTATTCAAAGGCCTGTTTTTTTTTTTTTTTTTTTTTTGGGTCTTCTAACAAGTGCTCTAATAGATGAGTTGTATAAAGTGAGATATTAACAGCTGTTTAGAAGGGAGAATGAAACAGACTTTATTCTGTTGTGAGGCATTCAGTCTGGTTAGGGATTACAGCTAGTACATTCGGTTGCGTTTAAGCCATGTGCTGTTTCAAATATTGTGTGTGAAAAGTAGAACTAGCTCTGGGAACCAAGCTACATCGTGCCTTCCTATCTCTCCAAAGCTTTTACAAGAACTTGTGTCACAAAATCAGCTTGTTTGACTTTGTAGTTTTATGTATTTTATCAGTTGTAGGCAACAGCATAGCAATGTTTTTAAGAGCTGAGAATAACTCTGTGCTTACTGACAGTGCCAGACACCAGTAAGCTTTTTGCATCTTCTAACTCACTGATTGCTCATAACCCATTGATTTATAGATGAAACTAAGGCACACAAAGATTGGTCAACTGTCACACAAATAGTGACATGGGGTTGAGACTTAGACCTGATACTCTAATGTAATGTATGCTCTGATAAAAGCAGATTTAGTGTTGGATAGTTGAATCCTATCTACTAATTAGTAATTGTAACCCCCCTACTAAATTACTAACCCCCTCTGAAATGATTTCTAACATGCTCACTAAGCCTTGGCTGTTTTCATCTCTAAAAGGGGAATAATGAGACTGTAGTAGTACCTAAGGGCTGCTATGGGAGTTAGATAATAGATACTTCTAAACAGGAGAACAAGGGCTGAATAAAACTTAACCAGAGTTTTTACTATGAATTAGTGCCAGACTATGCAACAGTTAAAAGGAAAAGGGTTAAATTATACGTAAATAATTCTATCATTAAGAATTTATTCAGGATCAACTTTTTTTATTAGAGCTTTATGGTTATACATAATAGTTGGGTTCATCCCAAAAAACTCATGCATGCATAGAAATCTTTTTCAGTTCATGATCCCTCTTTTTCCCTTTTATCCTTCCTGCCTCCCCCTCTCCTTCCTCTAATCTACTGGACTTCCTTTTACTCGTCTGTTAATTGATTGGTTCCTTATGTAATCTTATCCTTCCCTTCCCCTCTCCTTTATTTTATTTCAGCTTCATTATATGAGAAAACATTCTGACCTTTGAGTTTCTAAGTTTGTCTTATTTCACTTAGCATGATATTCTCCTTTTCTAGACTTTTACTGGCAAATGCCATAATTTCGTTCTTTTTAATGGCTGATAGAACTCCATTGTATGTGTATACCACAATTTCTTAATCCATTCATCTATTGATGGGCATGTGAGTTGACTACATAATTTAGCTATTGTGAATTGTGCTGCTATAAACAATGATGTCACTGTGTCACTAGAGTATGCCAATTTTAGATCTTTTGGGAAAAGACCCAGGAGTGGGTAGTTGGGTCATATGGTGGATCCATCCCTGGTTTTTTTTTTTGAGAAATATCCAAACTGCTTTCCAGAGTGATTGTGCTAGTCTGCAGTCCCACCAACAATGTACAAGTATTCCTTTCTCCCCACAACCTCTTCAGCATCTATGATTGATTGTATTCTTGATTATTGCCATTCTGATTTAATTTGCATTTCCCTGATTGCTAGAGATAGTGAACTTTTTTTCATGTATTTGTTGACCATTTTTGTTTTTTCTATTGAAAAGTTTCTGTTTAGTTCTTTTGTCCATTTATTGATTGGGTTATTCGGGGTTTTTGTTTGGGGTGTGTGTGTGAAGTTTTTTGAGTTCTTTGTATATTCTGGATATTAATCCCCTATTAAAGTAGTAGTTGGTCAAGATTTTCTCTCATTCTATAGGCTGTCTCTTTATGTCCTAAATAGTGCAGAAACTTTTTGGTTTAATGTCATGCCACTTATTGATTGTTGGTTTTATTTCTTGTGCTTTGAGGATCTTGTTAAGGATGTCTGTGCCAGAATCAATGTGATGGAGTGCTGAGGCTCAATGTTTTTGAAAGAAAGAAATTAAAAGGTTTTATGTGGTTGAAATAACTTGCAAGAAGCAAGTCTTGGTGGTTAGAGATGCAAGACATAATTTAGTGGTTGATGCTTGACAATGAGTCTTCGTGATAGAAGAGAACACCCTTGCTTACCATAAGGTCCAAGTAAAAAATGTTTTATTACAGTTCTGTAGTGGAAACATTTATCCAGATGGCACTAATTATAAACTATTCAATAGTGTACATTCTGCATTAGAATTCTGTTATCCATTGATAAATTATCTCTGTTATCCATTGATAAGTTCAGGGGAATGGTCTTAGGGACTTCTGAGCTGTGCCTTCTCGGCTAATGGGCATTAATTTATTCATGCATCCACTTTCTTGTGTTGCCCCATTTGCTCATAGGCTTATCGACTACATAATGTGGCAGGAATTAGGAACTGCTGCAGAAAAACAGTAGTGAGACTAACAGTTTGGACATTTTACAAAACAGTTTCTAAAGAGAGATGGCTTTGATTATCCATTTTAGGATGCTACAACAAAATGCTTTTCCAGAAAAGAGGCTATAGTGATTTTACTGATAGTAGCAAATAACCCTAAAAATTAATTGCTAGATGTACCATGTACCAGGCTATCTTAATTGTTTTGCATATATTAATTTTAACTTACAAGTTTTCCTAACAGTTATGTGAGATAGCATTCTTACTTTTTAAAGTCCCTTTACAAATAAAGAAGCTCAGGCCCAGGAAGTGGAATTAATGTGCCTGAGCCCATACCTCTGAGGTTCAGTGGGATTTGAACCCCAGCTCTCTAACTGCAGAGCCTGCAGTTCCTATCACTGTTAAACTGGTTCAAAGTGTGTCTTCAAAGACCAGGAATCCATGAACAAACTGTAGGGACAAGACACTGCTGTTGATTTGCAGGGAATGCGAACCCTCCCCAAGTCAGCATAGGTTGGGTTTATGCTGTAGTTGACACCACTGAAATCTCAGTACCTTGACACACAAAATAGGTGTATTATGGGTCCTGGTGACTCCAGGGAGGAGTTCTCTTTATAGCCCCTTGCAGTCCCTTACCTCGTTCCCTGGAAACATGATTCCTAGGACAATGTGGCAAGGGAAGAGAATATTAGAAGGACTGGTGGGAGTAGTTAAAATGCAGCCCAGAAGTGAGGCGAGTCATTCCTGCTCCCAGTGCATTGGCCAATGAACCTCCAGGGCCTCTCTGACCACAGGAGAAAGTGCAAGTTCAGCACACTGGACTACATGCCTGAAAAGAGAGTCAAGCTGCATAGCTATGTGCAGCACTGCTATCTACCATGCCAACCCGCTCTCTGCTCAGATTCTCCCACTGCATTGGTAATGGACAACTATAGTATTGTGTGGAAGAATAGTGCTTTAGCATTCTGGCAGCAGAGAGCAGTGATTAAAACCTGAGACAAGCTCAGGAAGTAAAAGTTCTTTGGGCAACAGAAACTGAAGGACTGTGTAGGTTATATCTGGCAGTTTGCTTGGCGAGATATCTCTTAGGGACCTTTGCCTTTTGGTAAAAGGTTGGCCTCACATCCACAAATTTCTGACCATAGCTTGGAGTAGAAAGAAGCTTTTGGAAGCAAAGAAAGGATGTGTCTGCCTACAGGACTGAAGAAATGGAGAAAGGCTTGCTAAATCTGAGTGCTGCTTGAGACCCCAGTACCTCCACCCTCCCTCTGTTTCATCATCACAATCTCATGGGTCTCCATGCTAATGCATGTGATCAGAAACCCTTTGTATGGGTACTGGAATGAAGCAGATCATCTTCAATAGAAAGAATGAATTCCATCATTTATTTGGTGTACTTTCATACATTACAAGCACATTTGGACTACTGGTATTGGTTGATGGTTCCAGAAGGGGAAAAAAAATAGGTTTGGACTATCCACAACTCAACTGCTGGAGTGACTAAATCCTGTAGCATCAAAAATTTTTTCTATAGGAAGTCTGCTTTGAGAAATGTTTGGAATGCTAGGGAAGAAGAGTTACTTGGAGAAGAGGAAGGATGATGTTCCAAGTGTCCAGAAAAGAATTTTACCCCATATTCACACATACTCTATAAAGCATCTTAGGATGTGGAAATGAGAAGATGTAATGGGAATACTTTTTCTTCCAGGCCATAGCAACTTGGGAAGAGAAAGTAGAATCAAAGGTTTGGATAGCTTTCAACAAACCTATAGAACCTACATACCAAGAAATGATAAAATCTAGGAAACACAAATTTGAGTTAATTCCTGAATGATCTACTTCTCTGGGTTACATGAGTTTCAGAAGATAACACTGATACTTCTCAGACCTTGCAAGATAAAATTACTGAGAGTCCAAGGCCCTAAAGTACACCTTGGTCCCAGGAATCAGAAGAACTCTTTGGAAGTAGTTACCACAACTCTGCATTTCATGATTGTCTGCCCCCTGTATGGATGCTCCACTATCTGGGTGTTTCCTCTCAGTGCCAATGAGCAAGCATTTTATTCTGATTATGGAAAGAGATGGTTCTCTCCTATCAGTATTTATTATTATTTTATAGGGCCAAAGGCTATTTGGCTCTTTGATTTTTAGAATTCTTAAAAAATCTAAAACATGTAGGAATAGCTTCCTTTAGATTGTCACAAGCATCCAATGTTGAAGTCAAGGCAGTTTTTATAACACTAAAATCACAAGTGAGTGATCCAGGATAATGTACTAATACCATCACTCTCCTACTTCAAGGTGAATCTCCTTGGCCTTCTGGAGTGATTACCTCTTACATAGATGGGCACCTTTGGTCCCCTACCTAAGAGAGTGGGACTGATAGCCAGACAAGTCCTATGACCCAAGAAGGTACCTAGCCACCTGCTCTGGCACCTCCTGAGTTCCCCAGCAGCACATTCAGCTATCCTGTAACACACTCTGCAGTGAAAGACAGGAGATTTGGGAGGGTGCAGACAAGCATGAGAGTTGGCCTAAGTATGTACATGGCTCTCAGAAGAAATGGACTCAGATTTGCACCAATGGATCCTGAATGGTGGAAGCAATCCAATGGATGATCATTAAGTAAGAATGTTACAGGAGGGACTGAAAACACTGGATAGGTAATTGTAGCAAACCTTCCAATGCTGAGTTTGTGTGATAGTTATGGCATATAGCTTGTGTCTCCTGGAAGTCATTTGGGCGCCACCGGCCTGCCCAGTGAAAACACTGTTTCCCCATCTGGACCACTACTCTTCCCTGTCTCCCTTCTTGGCACCTGCACTCTCCAAAGATTTCCAGTAGCACATAAATTAAATCCATCCTGTTCAGCCTGGCCTGTAGGATCCATCTCTATTTCATCTCTCAGGTTGCTTGTATAAGCCACACCCCTGGTCTGGAAGGCTCCTTGTATGGGAGACCACCTCTTCACTGAGATCTCAAATCATCAGATGATCTTGATGACCGAATCTGAGGCAGCCACTTGATCACAGCACCTCTTAATTCTCTAGCACTTCTCAGAGTTATTTATTGGTTAGTCTATTTCTTCACTTGTTTGTAAGCTCCAAGACAGCTTGACATGCGGTATATGCTTAAATAGATTTTTTAAATACATAAATTTAAGGAAGAAAGGGGATCACAGGAAACAACAAAATTTGTTAGTTTTCCTAAGCCTTAAGCTCAACCCTATAGGAAAGAAATGTCCTTTGTAATCACAAGGAGTTCTTTCAGATAGAGATGCAGCTGCATAGAAATTGGTATTTTGGAAAGCCACCAGAGGGTGCTGTCCACACACTTTTTTATTCAGTGTTCAGTTGCTCAAAAAGATTCACTTAGCTTCCTAATATGATTGGATAGGTGACTCAGTAAGTGATTCCCTGTGATTCTTCCTTGTTTCTTTCCACTCCACCTTTGCAGGAGCAGTTTTAAGAACAACAACCTGGCAGTCAATGCTGGGAGCTGATAAGTGTTAGCTCATAAGCTACTTTCTTGGACCCAGCCCTAAAAAAAGAAGGGTAAAGTTGAATAAAAGAATGGCCAAGTTGAATAAAAATCTGAATAACTCAGGTGGGACTTTGCATTCAGTATGCAACTCCATAATATCTTTTTTTAAATTTTTTTTTCTTTTTTTTATTGGTTGTTCAAAACATTATAAAGCTCTTGACATATCATATTTCATACATTAGATTCAAGTTGGTTATGAACTCCCAATTTTACCCCAAATACAGATTGCAGAATCACATCGGTTACACATCCACATTTTTACATAATGCCCTATTAGTAACTGTTGTATTCTGCTACCTTTCCTATCCTCTACTATCCCCCCTCCCTCCCCTCCCATTTTCTCTCTCTACCCCATCCACTGTAATTCATTTCTCTCCTTGTTTATTTTCCCATTCCCCTCACAACCTCTTATATGTAATTTTGTATAACAATGAGGGTCTCCCTCCATTACCATGCAATTTCCCTTTTCTCTCCCTTTCCATCCCACCTCATGTATCTGTTTAATGTTAATCTTTTCTTCCTGCTCTTCCTCCCTGCTCTGTTCTTAGCAACTCCATAATATCAAAGGACTATTTCTTGTATTTAAATTCCTAAATATTCTTTATTCTTATTTTTAGAAAGCAGCATAAAACATCTAGACACCAGTTTCTCTAATTTTGTATGCTAGTCCATGCAGGCCTCTGAGAACCCCAGTGTTTTCAGGCTTGGATACACATGAAACTCCTCTCAGAGCTTTGTGAAAATACAGATTCCTATGCTTGCCCAACTGGACTGACTATCCTCTTCATGGGTTACAGAACCTGTCGGGCTAACAAAACTTCTCAGGTGATTCCATTTCATCCATGATTTAGGAGCTG